CMWACMYAMSYAARYAMAYACATAYAYAYMMACYAWSKATGGGTGTAATTCTATATGTGTATATTCGCAATTATAAATATAAATTCATCTGTTATTATTATTTCCTTTTCTTTTCACTGCAAAAAGCAGTTCATCATTATTATCACACTGCAAGCCTGGGCACGCACAGAGAGAGAGACAAATACACACAATACCCCATGGCTCTAGTTCATGTATATTAAATTACTGCACACATACGCATGTGCACACACAATAAAAGTATGCTGTCAGTGAGCAGAACAGCCCAGTTTTCTGCACACACGCAACGGGAAAAAGAACGCACAGACAAAAGTAAAAGAAAAGAAATTCGAATTAAAAGAGAAAGCTGGTAAACAGATTATTAGTTTATTCTCCCATGGGGCATGTACGCAATTATGATTATGTTAGTATTACCATTATTATTATTTTGTCCTCAGATGAGACCCACTGTTCAGTACACAGTAAAGGAGAACAACACAACCACAATCAATAGCGGTGCTGCAGTGCGCATCCACACAGGACTGACACTGCTGTCAGCATTAGCCTTGTTCTTCTGCACTGCGGAGGCAATAGAGGTGATCTCTGCGTTGGGTACAGGAACAGGAGAAGCAGTTGTGGTTGGTGCTTCACTGACAGTGTTCTCGGTGCTCGGCGGAGTAGTGGTAGTGTTTTCTTGTGAGCCTGGAACGGCAGTCGTACCTTCAGAAGATGGTTGTTGAGGAGTATTATTATCGCCAGGTACACTGTTATCCCCTGTGTTATTTGATGATCCTGGGTTACCTTCTGTAGGTGGATTAGACTGCTTAGTTCCGGTGTGTTCTCCAGCACTATCACCACCTCCATTAGTAGAGGTACTTCTCTCGACTTGAGGGGCAGAAATACCCGATGAACTGACGGCAGCATTAACATGTTGGATGTCATTCGCTTGATCAGAGGAAGAAGTTATTTGTGGTCGCTGTTCTCCATGATTCACAACGTTCTGATCACCTTGTGGCAACTCAGAAGGTGGTTTTGCAGGAGCTTGGTGTGGTCCTTGGACTGCAGCCTGAAGTGATCCTTCGACTGTTCTTTCTCCCATTTCTTCCGACACACCTGGTCTACTACGCCTATCCTGCTCTTGTGAGTTACTAGGATCAATTCCGGTAGCAGGTCTAGAAGGTACATCATTGAGTGAGCGTGAATCATTATCTCTAATGACAAGGGGCTTATCATAAAAGTCTGAAATAATTTTTTCCTCTTCAACATGTGTATTGAAAAAAGGATGATCAATAGCCATCACCGCCTTTAGTTGTCCAGCAGTAGGAGTAGTAGAAGCAGCCGCCATGGTATACCCGCAGGCACAGCACAACACAACGGTCAACACACACATCACACGGCACATCACCACCATTGCTCTTCTTGTTGTTGTCTTCCTTGTCTCTTGAGATCACAGGTCTACGCAGGGAGTGTGGAAAAAAGAGAAACAAGAAGAAAGAAAGAGAAACACATGGTGAGTTGATGCAGGGAACAAATACACACAGTGGAAAAGAGAAAAGGGGCAACAACACAGTAAAGCGACAAAAAGAAATATCCCACTTGCATGATAATATGTAAACATTAATAGAAAAGAAAAAAAGAAAAGACCACACAATACCCCAATAAGAGAGAGCCAAATACACACACACACACACAGAATACCTCATGGCTCTAGTTTATGTATATTAAATTACTCCACACACACATCTGTGTGTACTAGCAAGAGATGTATACCGTCAGTGAGCAGAACAGTCCAGTTTTCTACACACATTCAACGGGAAAAAGCAAGTAATGGAATTATTAGAAAAAACAACACACATAAAAGTAAAAGAAAAGAAATTCGAATTGAAAGAGAGAGCTGGTAAACAGATTATTAGTTGATTCACCCATGGGGAATGTACGCAATTATGATTATGTTAGTTTAACCATTATTATTATTTGTCCTCAGATGAGTCCCACTGTTCAGTACACGGTAGCGGAGAACAACACAGCCACAATCAATAGCGGTGCTGCAGTGCGCATCCACACAGGACTGACACTGCTGTCAGCATTAGCCTTGTTCTGTAATGCGGATGTGATGGTGTTGATCTCTGCGTTAGGTACAAGAGATGGAGATGGAGTGGTGGTGGGTGCTTCTGTGGTAGTGTTCTCGGTGCTCGGTGGAATAGTGGTATTTGTTTCTGGTGAGTTTGGTACGGTAGTCACAGTAACAGTTGCAGTAGATTGCTGGGTAAGATTAGAGTCACGAGATGGAGTCGCGGTTGATTCTTCACTGACAGTGTTCTCGGTGCTCGACGGAGTAGTGGAAGTGGTTTCTTCCGAGTCTGGTGCGGCAGTCACATCAACAGCTGCAGGAGATTGCTGGTTAGCATTAGAGTTGCCAGCTGTACTGTTATCATCTGTGCTGCTCGATGCTCCTTGATCACCTTCTGGCACCTCAACGTTACCAGGTCTTTTCGACGATTCTGTTGGTTCCGGTTCACGTTCTCCCGCATCGTTTTCTGTTCTTGTTGGATTCGATCCTTCTTGTTGGCCTTGTCGATCAACTCCCTCTGCAACTTGCGATTCAGTGTCACCACCACTTCCTCCAATGGTGGGATGTGCCTCCGCTTCATCTTTCTTGGGAGGCGGTGTTAGTGGTGTTTTTTCAGCCTTCGGAGCGAATTCAAATTCCGCGCAGTTTATTCCCTCAACTGTATGATTGGGAGCATCCTTACACTTCTTATAATCACTGCTTGTTTTTGAAAGAAAATCTTCCAATAAAATATCACCAGCAGCAGCCGTCATGGTATACCCGCAGGTGCAGCACAGCACAACGACCAACACACACATCACACGGCTCATCATCATCATCATGAGAGAGACAATAATTTGGTTTGCGTAAAAACACTGATCTAGAAAGAAAGACAATCAAAAAGCAAAAAAAGAGAATAAATGAAGTATCAAACATGTTAGGACACACAAAAATCCATTACCACTATGGAAACTCACATCAAAAAAATAAAACCTACCAGTTAAAGAATGCAATACAGCGCAATAACCTCAGTAAGTGTAAAAACAAAAAAAAAAGCCCACACTCACAAATATCTCAAAAAAGGTTAACAACCAAGCAAAATCATCAAGCAAAGAAAAAGATATTAACCATTAGCCCAATTTACCCAGTAAACACAGAAATACACCAACTATGGGTGTAAGCCTATATGTGTACGTATATACACGCAATTATAAATATAAATTCATCTGTTATTATTATTTTCTTCTTCCTCTCACTGCAAAAAAGCAGTTCATCATCATTATCACAGTGCAAGCCCAGGTGCACGCACTTAGAATAGTCCCCAAGAACACACACACACACACACAATGGAGTAGCAATAATAATAATTATAGGATAAACACCAAGAGAGCAAAAACACACAAAACAACACAATAACATTACAGAAACAAGAAAAGGAAATCCCAACAGGTGAAAGATTAGTTAGACTATGGGGTTGCATGCAAAAAGAAGAAAAGAAAACAAAGGATGACCTTAGTCACACACCACCACACCACACCACAATCAGCACACAAGAATACAGGCCAGTGTAACCACAATCAGTAGTGGTACACGCACCCACACAGAACTGCTGATACTGCTGCTGCTGTCTGCATCACCCTTCTTGTTGTTTGTGAGTTCAGGAGGAAGTGTTGTTGTTGTTGTGTTGGTGGTTGTAGTGGTTGTATTTGCATTTTCTGCATCATTTGGGTTACTTGTTGGTCCAGTCTCTGCAGCTCCAGACTCACCTGCATTCTGTGAGGGTGAAGTGTTGGAAGAAGTCTCAGGTGTTATCGGAAGTGCATTATCAGATGTCTCTTTCCCTTCATTAGCACTTGATCCTGTTGAGTTTGTGTTCTCTCCATTTGTGGGTTGATGTGTATCCGGATGTGATTCCCTCCCGGTGTCTGTTTCAGCGTCTCTCGGTTTGTTTTCTTCCATCTGTTGTCCTTCTTGTTGTCTCACCACGGCATGGGTCTCGTGAGGTTCTTGGGTCTTCACTACTTTGGGGACACAACACGTAAGAGTTCCATTATCAAGACGAATTTCTTCAGAAGGAGGAACACAAACGACGACCTTACCGTTGCCCTCCATAGTACTTTCGCTTTGTTCACCCCATACCAATCCGCAATCACAACAAAGTAAAAGAGTTAATAAACAAAGCAGGTTGCACCGTAGCATTACAGCCTTTGCCATTGTAGTTGACTTCAATAGACTAATAAAAGAAAGAGAAGAAGGAAGAGAAAGAATTATGATAGAAACACACAAATAATCAACAGTACAACAAATTCTCACAGTGGAAAAGAGAGAGAGAGAGAGAGAGAGAAGCAGCCACTACACAGTAAAGCAAAAAAAAAAGAATAGCCCACTTGCTTAATAATATGTACCCCTTAACAGAAAAAGAGAAGACCCCACAATACCCAAATAAGAGAGAGAGAGCCAAACACACACACAATACCCCATGGCTCTAGTTTATGTATGAAATTACTGCACACATACATCTGTGTGTACTAGCAAGAGATGTATACCGTCAGTGAGTAGAACAGCCCAGTTTTCTGCACACACACAACGGAAAAAACAAGTTATGGAATTATTAGAAAATAACACACACAAATAAAAGTAAAAAATATAAAATAACCTCAAGAGTCGTGCAAAAGAGAAAAAATAATGGATAAGATAAATAAGTTTTTCTTTTATTTTTTCCTCATCCATAAAAGTAGTAGTACACCCTTTTCATTTTCATGTTGTGGCTTCGGGCCATTTCCTCTTAACAAAAAATGTCTCCAATGTCTTTCTGAAAATATGGGTATCGCAAACCCCTTTTTCTTTTCTTTCTTTGATTTTTTAATCTCCATCTCTGCCTTCACTAGTATATTTCCCATCCTTCTCATTCTTCTTTCCTTTTTTTCCTTTTCAACCTATTGAACTTCCCAATATCACATTCACGCAAACCTCTATCCACCTCTCCTTTTTCTTTTTCTTCTTTCCATTCAACCTATTCCCAGTTGCCCTAATACGGCCCACTAGTCTTGTACTTTCCTTGTTTCTCAACATCATGGTAGTCCCACCGCGTTGGCTTTCGGAAATCGTGTCGGGTTGGGAATATCTCTGGCATTGGTCCTGCGTACACCATATCATACGAGGGATGTTGTCCACGTGCGTATTGTTTGTACTTGCGCTCCCACGGTGTTGGGAACTCTGGC